TCAGAAGTACTCGTCGGCCTTCTCTTTACGTGAAATATCAATCTGAAGTACCATTACTTACAGTCAGACGTCGTACACCTGGGTTACTCTGCTGTTTCAACCCTGTCCCCTGAGATGACCATAAAAAAACAACAGCAACCCCTCGCCAAGTCAGCAAAGGCCTGCTTTCGAAAAGCTTTGTTGAAACTGTTGCTAAACCTCTTATGAATGTATACCGGATAGGGTCCTTTTGGCAGACACCACACAATGAACTTAGCATTCGCATTCCAACCGAGTTCGGCTGTCGCTCGTGTCTCTTTTGAGTAGTCAAATATTACGCCCCAGTTCGAAGACGAAGGTCAGATGGTTAAGACAAAGTTTGTTGAGCCGACTTATTCATTCCATCACTGGACTGCCGTATTTCCGTATTTGAGTGAAGAAGGCTGGAAACTCCCATGCCTGGTCCCTCCCCCCTCCCACAAGGGTTTGTCATCGTTCAAAAATATGTCTAATTAATTTTCTAGCTTCATTCTTGTCAACCACGAGAACAGATTTCCTTTAACTGTTATACTGTTCTGCTTAGAGTTACGTCGTAATCAAAAACCACCGGCTGTTGAGGTTTTAATGGCAAAAACCCTGAACATCGAGAATGCTAGGAATAGTCATTTTCCTACCTTCTTTTAAGGCATAGAATCAGACTGGAGTTCCACAATGTACAGCGAAAACTATTCATCAAAGTATCACCTATGATTCAGACGTTCGAGAACAGACGAAAAATTCAGAAAATCGATCAAGGTCAGCCAATTGACTTTTACGACTTTCTGTTACTAAACGTAGGAAAGAATACATTTAACTATTCAGGGGAGCTGACCAGTTTCTATTGAATTTTGTAACTCCAGCAACATGGTACAATCTCGGCACGTCATTTCTCATATGACTAACCATTCTGGTCGTTTCTAACGTTGTTTCGATTGATGGAACATGTACTTGTAACCCAGATTTAGTCGGCTGCTCACTCGGCAAGTCAATGGATGCTTCGTCAACAAGAATAATGAATAATAATAATTTTAACCCTATGACTAATCTGAAAATGTTAGTGGTTCATGTGCTTGACGAATTTTCACTTTTGGCAGGTCATCCGTTTTCATGTAAGTTATTGAAAACTCATCTTTCCATGCTATGACGCACCGCATAATTTAAAGTTGGAGGAAAAACGAAAATATATATGCCTACGTCAACACTGGAGAAAAATTCCAGTGTTTTCATTACCATATTAACAACAGTAAATTCCTGTCTCCATTTTCCTGTTACTTTTAGTGTCATTCAGGCTTCATTGACGGATTCGTTTTTATTAGTGTTGATCATTTAGAAATTGAAATGAAATTAATCCTTGTGAAATGGAAAAACCTTTGAAATAGGTCTGCCGTAAAAGCTATCCAGACGGCCTTCTGGTTACGAAACTATCGACTGCTGCGGACGACGACCAGCCACATTCACGAAACCTCACCACCAACTACGATGAAAGAGGCCAGTGAGGCACGGGCCGAAACGACGGCAATGGTCGGTCACCAGACTGACCCCGGTTTCATTTGCATTGTGTATAATTAAACCGTCTTGCGCTGTTTTTTCGATTGCACGTAAAGTGTAAACCCAACCTAGAGAGTTTTTATTCTCAGAATTACTGAATCATCGAGTCCTGCGGCAATGTCAATCGTGACAAAAAATACGAACTCAACGCAGATTGAACGAGCCTTGTTGTCCCTCTCACCTAAAAGCTATTGAACGAGCAACACCGACCAAATGCTTGCGTTCCGGCTTCAAACCTACCAACCGATGCGGACAATAAGAAAAACCTCCTACCTTGAAGAAGACTCGTGAGACACGGACCGCAACGTTGGTAATGGTCAATTATCTGATTTACTGTTTGTTTCTGAACCATGCTTTATGCTGCTTTTGAGTTCAGATATTTGAAAGAGTCCTGCTGTGCCTCGCCTGCATCTCCAGTAGTGGTAGCCACAGCTGCGGTAATTAGAGCACGTTTGATGAATGCCCTTGTGAGGGGAGACGATACAGTAACTACTTGCTCAACCGTCCCACCGAATACCCGGGGAAGGAGAAAGATGACCTAGGACAACTGACTGAAGGCTTGACTGGCTGACTGACGCACAGACGCACTGACTGATTCAGATTACAAAAATTTTTGGTAGTGGCATGGTCTCGCTCTCGCTCTCGCTAACGTGGTAGTTTTAATAATTTTGCTTTGCTGAAATTGCTGTTCAGTCAAAAACAATGGGGCTGCTGACATAAAGGTTACAGGTGTTTCATCTGCAGAATAAATGAATATAATTGTTCCGCTGTTCTCAACTACATTTTGGGCAAAAAGAAGGTTTTAGGCAAATATTGACCCATACGATAATAAAAAAGCAGCTGTTTACTTAGGGTAAATGGCTTTTTATGGTAACCGGCTGCTGCAATGAAAATCGGCGCATACGAAGACATGTATATTAGAGAAAACCGGCCTGAGATTCCACATCGCGCAACGAAAACAACGTCTAAACCTGAGAAACACACCACGACATGCTTTTCCTTCATCGCAGCGGTCGCCGTGATACCCATAATTTCACAGTGGTCACGTGCAAAGTAAATGGTAATTTTGGAATGAGGCATCCTTTGAATGGGGTCTCTCTCTCTCTCTCTCTCTCTCTCTCTCGAAAAACTCTAATAATAAAACTAGGATGAATTGAGGAA